CAACCATTTTGAATAATATTGCATGAGTTCCTTGTTTTTTAATGCAGCATAATATTCCATTGTGCGAATATACCACAGCTTCTCTAGCCATTCGTTTGTTGATGGGGAGAAGAGATAAAATCTTTAAATTAAAAGAATAGAATATTGTATTGAGTGAAAGAAATAGGTATTTGCGGTGATTAAATCATAGTACAAAAAAAAAGTGGTTTCTTGTAAAGTCTTAAAATAAGCACTCCTATCCACTTCTGTAATAGCTTGCCTCTGGGAGCCCTATGAACCTGGAGAGAGGATGAAATACAGACACCCAAGCGTTGAGGACTCTCCTTCATAGGGTCGCTATGAGTTGTTTGCAACTCAATGGCACTTAACAACAACAATAACAACAACAAACCTGACAAAACCAAGTAGCAGTGAGAGGAGGAGATCATAAAATATGATCATAAGATCAGGAAATAAGTGTTTATAAATTATGTAGTTGAAAGGAGCTTTGGTTGCCTAGTGACAAGAAGCTGCGCTGAAATCCCGAAGGCACGAGGTTTGAATCCACCATATGCCCCGCTGGACAACAAAGGGCAGTCTTCTCCTGTGCCATTTGAATCTGACTTGATGGTACACATCAAGGAAAAAAAATGTATGTAGTTAAAGACAGACTTGATAATCAAGAGATAGTAAATAAAAAGTCATTATCCCTTCTATACAAGGATGAGGAAAAGTCCAAGAATTTTTGACTTTTTATTCAATAGTTGTTGAATTGTTAATTGTTATTAAATCAAGTAACATTTGAATGTCAGCTGAAAATAGATAAAGGAACTGAAATGTAGTTTAAGTAGAAAAAATTTAACTATCCATTGAGCATGCTTTAATAGAGTCCTGTTAGGGCATAAAAAGAAAACTACTAAATTTTAATTTGTTCTGTGGAAATATGAGTTTTGATTTACTTTTGTTTGTTTTAAATGAAAATTATTTAATTCACAGATACCTATTTTGACATTTTTATTGATTTCATTGATGGTGAGATTATGTAGGAAATGGGCATTTTCTGCCAAAAGGGAAAAAGAAAAGTTGATTAGTATTGAAAGTTATCCTAAAACCACTTTATGACTAATATTTGAAAATTATGTTAACACGTAAGAAATAACATGTTAATAGTTGTTTTTAGGCGAGCTCTGGTGACCTAGGGGCAAGAAGCTGCACTGCAATCCTAGAGGTACGCGGTTTGAATCCACCAGATGCTCTACCAGAGAAGCAGGAACAATCTCTTCCTGTACCAACCAGTCAGATCTAATTTGATGGTACACACACACACACACACACACACACTAATAAAAATAAAAAAAAAAATAGGGGTGAGGAGGGTAGAGAAGGGGGAAGGGGGTCAGAGAAAAAAGTATAACAATGAATGAATGAAAATCCAAAATCTCTGTAAATGTTCGTTAAAATTAATAAAATAAAATAGTTTTTATGAACCTGCTTTTAAGGAGAGGAGGACCTATGTGAAAGGAAAAAAATTTCTATTAAATTAGGTGTGTATTTGATAATGCTGGTAGTTTATTTTTGGAGGAAGGTGATTATATTTAAAAGTAGTTGTTCAAGTAATAAACGGTAAGCAGAACACTTAGTGCTTTTTTGTATTAGGTTTTAATCTTCACAATTTGCATATATAAATTTATTTGTTCTTGAGAAGAAGAAGAAATTGAAGTTGGTTATTTGTCTAGATTTAAACATCTAGTGAATATTTACACCAGGTTACACTCCTGGACAGTCTGTCTTTACTACACTTTAAAATGTAGTTCTTAGGATGATAGAAAGTAATAGTCGAATGGCCTACAAATTTATTTATGCATTGGCTAATTGTATGTATTAGGTGATAAGTTCTCTACTAGTTTTTTTTTTCTTTTTTAGAAAAAAGGCTTAAATTCTTTTGTGCTATCTGTTAGCTTACGTAGGCAAATCTAACTGAACTGTAAATAGATTTCTTTGATGTTTACATCAGGTACAACCAAAACTGTCACTTCTGAAGATTTTGCGGGCAGCAGGTGCACAAGGAGAAACATTCACTGTTAAAGAGGTAAGTCACCAGGGGGAAAAGTAATCCTCAAGGGAATCAGTTTGTTAATGTTTTAAGAACATCTAGGAAGTGGAAGTAAAAGCTTGTCATTCTCAGCTGCTGACAGTTCCGTGAATCCTCTGTACATGGTTTCTTTTCTGTATTCTTTTACATTTAGGCCTGAGAAAGGAAGAACCACTGGAGGAACTACTTTTGCCTTATTTGAAAAAGATTTTCAAGATCAAGTTGCACTTTTTATTTCCTTTCCAAAAAACTTTTTATTGTTGTTGACAAACTAGACAATTTAGTGACAACTTATGTTCTTTGAGTTGGGCAGCCCTTCTTACTCTTGTCCTATGAATTTAAACTCACTGTTGCATAAGATTTCTGTCTGCTCTTGTGAGTTGCTATTAGTAAGTTTGAGTTTATATAGAATAGTTAGGCTAAACCATTGTTTGTTTTCTAAATTTTTTAAATTTTATTTTTTTATATTTAAATTTATTATTAATTTCAGTAAAAATTTACAGAGACTTTGGATTTCCATTCATTCATTGTTGCACTTTTCTCCCTTCCCAACCCTCCCCCCTAAATAATTTTTTAGTTTTAATGCTTCACACGATAGTTTTGGTTTAAGAATTTTTTTATGAAAATAAATTAGAGTTTCATTTAGCCTCCCTGGCTCCAGGATGTCTGTTGTGTTGTTAGGTGCTTTTGAGTTGAGTATGACTTATAGAAACCCTGTGAATAACAGATCTGAACCCTGTCCTAGCCTGTGACATCGTTACAATCTTAGACACAGTTGAACCATTGCAGCAGTCAGTATGTCACTCAGTCTGGTTGAGAGTCTTTCTCTCTTTTGCTGACCTTTCACTTTCCCAAGCATGATGTCATTTTCTAAAAAATAGCCTCTCCTAGCAACATGCCCAAAATATATGAGATGAAACTTTATCATCTTTGCTTCCAAGGGGTACTCTGGCATCCTCTCCAAGACATACCTGTTTGTTATTTTGATAGTCTATGGGATATTCATTACTCTTCTCCAAAACGACAGTTCAAAGGCATCAGTTCTTCTTCTGTCATCCTTAATTCAGTGTCCAGTTCTCAGCAGTATAACGACTGACTGAAAAGACTGTGATCTGAATCAGGTGCATCTTATTCCTCAAACTAACATAATTTAAAAAAACTCCAAAAAATCCCCCCAAAATAAAACACCTAACATCATTGTTCCTCAGTAATTTGGGAGGCTCAGACTACAGGCTTTCTCAGTGTAACACATCTCCTGTTCTGACTGCTGGTATGACATATATGAAATGTCTGTAGTTCATGAAAATTTGAAATTGTGTTCTATATTATTCTTCTTTTGATTATGATTCTTCTCTTGGATCTTTGGTTAAAGTGTTTAATAAGAGTAGGCGATTATTTCCATGTGTAAGAGAGGCAGATCTGGAGGCAGTTAATTAGCTATACATTCCATATCCTCCTCCCTGACTCTATGTCCTCTCTTGCTTCAGAGGAGTAGTTGTGCCTTGGTCGGCTAATTGCAAGCTTTTTAAACTCCAGACACTATACACTGTAGTGGTTGATAGATCAGAAACTAAACACATTATTAGACCATCTAACAGGAATGCCCTTTCAGACTATGACCCTAAACCTCTAAATCAAGGAAGCAAATCTCATGAGGTGTTTGGTTGTACATAAACAACTTTCGCAGCTATTCTTTGTGTTGTAAATCTATCACACAAGTTTTGCCAATCAAATTTTTAGAGGTATACAAGTACTGATAGTAATTATACTATTTAGTATATTAGCACCAGTAGCTAGGAAATCAAAAAACGTATTGCAATGGGAAAGTCTGCGGTTAGGGACCTCTCTAAAGTACTCAAGAGCAGCGGTGTCTCTCTGGAGACTAAGGTGCGCCTGATACAGGCCATGGTCTTTGCAGTCACTTGTTATGCATCAGAGAGTTGGACAGTGACTAGGGAGGATAGAAGGAGAATTGATGCCTTTGAGCTGTGGTGCTGAAGAAGAGTATTGAATGTACCATGGACTGCCAAGAAAACAAACAGATTCATTCTAGAGAGGGTTAAAGTAGGCTGCTCCTTGGAGGCAAGGATTCTGGGGCTTCGTCTGACATACTTTGGACATGTTGTAAGGAGAGACAGGTCTTTAGAGAGGGACATCATGCTGGGTAGAGTAGAGGGACAGCGCAGGAGGGAAAGACCCTCTATGAGGTGGATTGATTCAGTGACTGGGGTAATTGGGATGGGTGTGTCAGAGGCAATGAGATTGGCACAGGACAGAGCGGAGTTTAGGGCTGTTGTACATATAGGGTCGCTATGAGTCGCAAACGACTCGATGGCACCTAACAACAACAACAACATATTAATTGCTTGTCTGGTTTTAATCACTGTAATTTTTCCATCAGTATAAACAAAAAGTTTTAAACATAAGCAGTAACTTCACTTTTCTTCCCGTTTCTTGCCCCAGTTTTACCACTAGTAAATTGCGCATAGTACTTGCTTATTCTTGTCTTTTTATCTAAGTGAGGGTATATTATGTCTTCTTGTGACACATTTTACTCAGTGTAATGTCTTCATGCTTTATCCCTTTTGTGGCATGTGTCAGGACTTCCAGCTGATTAGATCCTCACTGTATGTTTGTAACACATTTTATCTGCTCATCTATTGATGAACATTTAGGTTGCTTCCATTCTTCCACTGTTGTGAATAGTATTACAGTGGACACTGGTATGCAACTTCTGTTGAGCCTTTGCTTTCCGCTCTTTTGTGTGTATCCCTAGAAATGGAATTGCTGGGTCATGCATGTGGTACTTTCAGCCACTGTAGTGTTTTCCATAATAAATGTACTACCATTTTGCACTTCTACCAGCAGTGGATCAAGATTCCAGTTTTCCCACACTCTTAATAACATTTGTTATTTTTCTGTCTTGTATCTTAAGCATCCTGTTGTTGTTATATGCATCGAGTCGCCTGCAACTCATAGCGACCCTATATACAACAGCCCTAAATCCTGCTCTATCCCTTGCCAATCTTACTGTTTCTGACACGCTTATCCCCATTACTCCAGTGACTGAATCAGTCCATCTCATTGAAGGTCTTCCTCTACTGTGCTGTCCCTCCACCCTCCCAAGCATGACGTCCCTCTCTAAGTGAAATGGTACCTCATTGTGGTTTTCATTTGTATCTCCCTGATGGATAATGAAAAGAACTCTGATAGCCTAGTGTGGGTAATGAGTTGCACTGTCAACCTAAAGACAGGCAGTTTGAAACCACCTATTGCTCTGAGGGAAAAGAGATGGACAATTTCCTCTCGTGCACTTTCCAGCCTCTGAAAACCAATGAGAGGATCAACTCTAATTCCATGGATTGTTTCCAACTCCATGACAACTCATTGAATTTTATTGCATTGATGGCTGAGAATATTAACCATCTTTTCTTGTATTTGGTGACTATTTAAATGCTTTCTTTAGTGAAATATCTGTTCAAGTCTATTGCTGACTTTCTGATTGAGTTGTCTTTGTTAAATTGTTGAAGATATATAT